CTCTGAGAGCAGGGGAAGCGAGATGAGGTCTCCGCTCAAAAGGCAGGAGGGTGGTAAGGAGCTGGGCGATAATCGGCTTTCTTCCAGAGGAAGAGAGAATTTTACGTTTATCTCTGGTTTCGATGAGATAAGGTCCCAGAGCATCGCCAAAAAGCTTATCGCCTGAGAATGGAACTGAAGCCAGCTTCCATTTTCAGCGTGACTCCACCTGCCAATTTCTGAGCCATAACAGTCATCTTGCTGCTACTGAAGATGCCATGGCCTTGGATGCAAATTTTGGCGGAATTGAGAGTGGCATCTGCAGTGAATTCTGCCGCTGCAATAATCCTATTAAGGTCTTGGTGAGACCAAAGGTCAGAAGCAGGCAATCTATTCTGGAGTTGGCGCAGCCACCGTGTGGATGCCCTCGTGAAAAAAAGGGTGCTGCTGTTGAAGCCCGAACAGCCCATGCAGCAGCCTGGGGATTGTGCTGGAGGGCCTGTTCGGAACGTTTATCATCCGGTTTCAGGATATCTTCTGGCTCCGTGGGAGTGCCAGAAAATGAGAATGAGGCCAGAACTGGAATGTCAACAGAAGGCACTGCCAGGGCATTGTCCAGGGCTGCACTGACGTAGAAATGCTTATACAGAGAAGATGGGCAAGGACCTGCCGAAGGGGAAGCGCACTGTTCCTTGACCATGTTCAGGAACAAAGTGGGAGAAGGCAAAACCTCTGCATGCACTACAGGCTTGGAGAAGAGTGAATCCCCTTGGCTAGAGGGATTTCCTTGTGGCTCAGGAGCCACTTCCTCCGGTGACAGCTTGACAGTGACCAAGGCCTTACTGAGCAATGGCCTGAAGAGAGAAGGATTGAAGACCAATGCAGAGGATGTCTGCTCTGGGCGAGAATCCTCTTCCTCTGAAAGATTTTGGTCAAAAGTCTCGCCCTCTTCACGCTCTGAATGAGAGGGGTAACTGTGTTCAGATGGTTAAGCCCTTCCTTCCTCATCAACCTCCTCCCATTCTGATAGAGAAGAATGGACCCTGAGGTCCTGAGGCCTGTGTAAATCAGGGTGATGAGGCAAAGAACTTATAGATTGAGAAGGGAGAAGGGCCTGAACCCTTTCCAGAGGTCGAAGAATTTGCTTGAAGCCTTCAGCCAATCCCTGCCTAATGGCCAATGAGACAACATCTTGGATATCCCCTGGTCTATGCTCAAAGGTAGAGGCAGAAGGCCGAAGGCCTGCTGCTGTGGGAGTGAAGGTGGCTTCAGGCCTAGATTGAGAAGAGGTTCGAGCCTGGAGAGAGGGGGAGGAGCATAGGGTCCAGAAGCCTGTTGCAAATAAGGCCCAGATCTGCTGAGATTCTGAGGATCAGATTGTACTGCAGAAGCCTAGGAGACCAGGATGGAGGATGGAAAGGCTCATAGATAACTTCTCCTCCCCTGGGAGGGCTTGGCTGGGGCCCACGGGTATCACCTGAAACATGCTGTAGTTGCACTCCCTTCTGTTGAATAGTTCTGTTGAATTGCCTCTCTAGGGTTGCATGTCTGCGCTTTTCTGCCCTCAACTCAGCCTGAGTTGCCTTCTTAGGGGCTAGAGCCTTAGCTCTGATTTTAGCAGCCACCTCCCTCTGGACTGATTGGGTGCATTACCTACGTCTTTTTCTCTTATTGGGCTTAAGAGACTGTTCCACTGGGGGGGAAACTGCCTTATCTTGCTCCATTTGTAGAATAAAGGCTCTTGCGATAGAAAGAAACTGTTTAGAAATTTTTTGTATTAAGCCCCTGAGGGTATAAATTGGCCCCCGGGCTTACAAAATGGCCGCTCACCTTGTGGTGGAAGGCTTCAATCCAAGATGCCCACTGACTAGGGGAAACAGGCACCAAAATAGAAGAATCGCTTCTTAGGCTATAAAGAGCCCCGAGCGAAGTCAGCAAAGGAAAGGGCAGCCTTCGGCCGCACGATTAGCTAGATTGGTTTGCCAATCGCTTTTTATGATCGCTCAAACCGCAGGCATGGGGGAGGTCTACAGACGCTGCCCAACTTGCCTGAACAGCGCTCTGGCAATGCTGCTCCCAACGTTGCAGGAGAGAGAGCCCTGCTCTCCTGGAAAAACAGCTGTCCTGATCCCTGGGAGCTGCTTGAAGCGAGGAAAAAAGATCGCTGAAGATCGCTGGTGATTGCTATCTAACAGAACGCTTTCAGAGACACAGCTACTGACTGAAAGGAGCTGAGTCAAAAGCTGGGGTCTCTCCCGGGGGCTGGCTTTTATATCTTAGTACAGACTCAGCTAAATTACGTCATAGGAAGGAGTCAACCCATCCTGGGCTCTCGATGCAGCATGGAGGAGAATAGAATAGAATAGAATAGAATAGAATAGAATAGAATAGAATAGAATAGAATAGCATTCTTTATTGGCCAAGTGTGATTGGACACACAAGGAATTTGTCTCTAGTGCAAATGCTCTCAGTGTACATAAAAGAAAAGATACATTTGTCAAGAGTCAAGAATCATCAGGTACAACACTTAAAAATAGTCATAGGGCAATCAAATCATACTAGGAAATGGTCAATAAAAATCGTAAGGATACAAGCGACAAAGTTACAATCATATAGTCACAAGTGGGAGGGGATGGGTGATAAGGATTGATGAGAAAATTAACAGTAATAGTAGTGCAGACTTTGTAAATAGTTGGACAGTGTTGAAGAAATTATTTGTTTAGCAGAGTGATGGCTTTTGGGAAAAACCTGTCCTTGTGTCTAGTTGTTCTGGTGTGCAGTGCTCTATAACGTCGTTTTGAGGATAGGAGTTGAAACAGTTTATGTCCAGGATGTGAGGAGTCTGTAAATATTTTCACAGCCCTCTTATGAATGTTTTGTATGTTAAAATGGTAACATTTATATATGTGTGCAGGAAATGAATCATATGCAGTTCATTTCTAATTTTTTATGTAGAAACAAGGGAAAATCAGCAATGTGGTAGAGGAAATGCAGATTGATTTAGTGAAGCTTTACTGTGATATCATTTTGAATCAAACTGCATAAATGACTTAATTCCAGATTTCAACCAGTTTCTTTCCTGAGACAGATTCTGTAAGTTATTCAGTGGCTCCACAAGGATATTAGCAATTTTTGAAGGCAACCATATATGTCAATAGTTTTTCTTGTCTATGAAAATTAACAAATCCATGTTGAGGTCAAGGCTGACTGATGAACAATAGCAAGTAAATTGAGATTGGTTTCAACTCAAGACATTAAACCAAATAATAATTTAATGAAAGACTGCCAAATAAGAAGCCAGAATGATAGTGAAAAAATTGTTATCCTTTTTTAAATATACTTTAATATGTAAAGATTATAATTTACAAGAATAAAAACTAACTGAAAATACAAGGTACAAAAAGAAAAAAGAAAGAAAAATAGAAAAGGAAAAAATAAGAATATAGTAAAGAAAAGGAAACATATAAAGAGAAACTACTTCTCCCTTCATCCCAACAAGTCTAAACTATTTTAGTAACTTATCACCTCTAAAATAAAAGAAATACTATTTTCTTGTCATAGCCCATCTCTTATCTATAAACAATTCCATAAGACCTCATCATTTATGTCCTGAGGTCTGCAAAAGTCCCTTAATGATTATCAAATATAATAACATTATCTATTTTAACACTGATCAAATAAAGTAACTTTATATTCCTTCTTTTTTACTTTTAACAATCTTGATCTTTAGTCCTTTCTAATAATGTTCTAGATTTTTATTTTTATTTTATTTTTCTTTATCCCTTCTCACAAAATTCAACACTTCAACAAATTCTCTTTGGTAAATCCAATATAATATTTCTAAAAAGCACCTTTGGGACAACCATGACCTGGATGACTGAGAATCTTCATAGACAGTTAAGTCATTAACTTTTATTTAAAACTTCTTTCACTAAGGAATGAAGGAAACTCACCTGGAAATATAAAACATGCTGACCCAAAAGTTCCTAATAGCTGAAAAGCAATTAATGAGCAATTTTTTTGAAAATGATTAGCAAAGAAATATGTGAATTTAAAAACACTGAAAATGATTTGAGCAAAACAGCTATTCCCTCATCTCCCAGAGCCCTAAAAACCAATGCCTTGCAGTCTCCTCATGGAGAACAACTATCTGGAGCACTTTGAGTGATCTTAAGTTCTCTCCTATTCAGAGAGGAGTTACAAAATATTTCAATGCCTTTTCTGTGTTCTTCATATTCAGGAGTAAACAGCTACTGCAATAGGAATTTTAATTTTAAATTGTTATAAGTGCCACATGGAAGCTAGTCATTTTATCTAATACAGTATCTAACTGAATAAATTTACATTTAACAACATACCTTAATACTGTTCATTTCCCTTATTATTGACTCATTTCAGATTTCTGTTTCTATATATGAAAAAGCTATAGTATAGTAGCCTCCTGGCTGTGGAATGGAACAACTTGCCGCAGCCGACTGACTGTGGCCAACTTGCTGCAGGACAATTTAACAATTCAATTATTTAAAATAAATAAAAATTAGTTTCATTTTTTATCATTCACATTTCATTCTGTCCCTTTTGCATTCTTTCTTTCATGATTTTATTCTACCATTTCTTTAATATTAGTGTAACTCTTGTCCTACATTGAATTATCCCGTAGTGAATTAGCCATGGCAAGTTGTCCTGTGGAGGCAAGTTGCTGTGGCAAGTTGGCCATGGTGAGTTGGCCATGGGGAATAGTCATAGACCCACCTGACTAATAATCATGTGACACTTGCAACAACTTAAACTCGATACTATATAACATGTTTGAATATGAAGAACATAGAAGAGAACTTATAACACCTTTCTGCCATTGACTACTCTGTTTGATTTAGGTTTCCAATAGTTTGAGATGGTTAGGAAAGGAGTTATTGTAAATTGTTTTAACGGATATTATTGGCTATTTCAACTTGTTGATTTTATGGCATTAACATTTGAAAATAATTCAAAAACTAAACATAAATAATAAATGCACCTACCCTTTTCATACGCAACTCTTCTACTGCCTCCAGAAATGTTGTTTTGAAATCTAGTAACTGAATCGAAAGCAATGCTTCTGAGGAGTTTTGTAAGGAATATGCTACTATTTCTTTATCTAAATCTTCATCCATTTAACCTATGGAATCTAAAAAAAGTTTTTAATTACTAAATGTAATATTAGTATTATTAGGGCCAATGTTTGACCAAGTCCCCCCACTCCTGGATTAATTGGTGCAGAAAAAATAAAAGCAGAGAATAAGGGAAGCTCTTGATGTCCCCTTGATTTCAAACTTTAAATGGCATTAACTAATGCGTCCAATTCAGAGCAAAACTTTATTTGACTTTGAATGCTGAGGCTTCTCATATAAAAGTGAACAGACCCAGAGAAAAAAAAGCATATATTTGAGTGAAATTTATGTGAAAGGAAAGTAGAAACAGATCCTGGGTGACAATGAAGTATGTGGATTGTAACAAATATACATCAACCCACACTAAAAACTGAGTTTGGGGCAAATGTGCCTCTAATTTGAAGACCAACTTGCCAGTCTCCAAACCCAACATCATGACAAGTGTTCCATCAACAAGTACTAAATACTTATTAAGATTTTATTTCTTGTTTGGCAGGTGATACAATACCCTGAACTTTCCAGAGCACTGAGCACAAGATTCTAGACACATTCTGGAGAGAGAGAGGTTTCCTGAGGATGGACTCCAGCACAAGCCCAAAAGGAAGAATAAAACTTTGGTCCCGGTGACCAACTCAGATTAGATCCTGCATACACAAAACAGTACAATCTTCATCAACATAGATGTCAGTTAATGAGAACTCAAGCACATATACTATTTAGAAGTTGTTTTCATGTCTCTGATTTTAACAGAACAGAATATTTAACAGAATAAAAGATTTGGAAGGGACTTTGGAAGACTTCTGGTCCAACTCCCTTCTCAAGCAGGAGACCCTATACCATTTCAGACAAATCTCTTCTTAATAACCTCCAGTGATGGAGCATCAACAACTTCTGAAGGCAAGCCGTTCCACTAATTAATTGTTCTAACAGAGAATTTATCCTTATTACTAGGTTAGTTTCTCTTTTCCATTCATTGCTTCTTGTTCTGCCTCCATATATAAACAACACTGAGCCAGTACTCCTTCCTGCTGACCAATTGGCATATACTAAAACTGAGAGTTAATGCCCTTTGGTCCTTTCACTGTTTTTCATTTATTATGTTTGTGGGGTTTTCAGGAAAAGAAAAAAGCCACCCCTTCCCAAAGCAGCCATGTAATTTATCTAAACCAAAGCCACTCCTCAGAAAGCTACTGGGAAATGGTGACGTATGGCATCTGGGAGATGTATGGCATCTTTGATTTACAAAATGGAGAGGGAGAGGTCAAGGGATCAAGATCAGGAAACAAGAGAAACTTTACCAAAATTACAGAAGAAACAGGAAAAAATGAATTTCTCATTGAAGCTCTGTGTGGAATTTAGCACTTTTGAGGTAGAAAGATCCATAATCAAATCAATCGTGATTTTATATGCTTTATCAGCCTGAAATGATGACCAGTTTTAGAAGGTACCTTACCACCTATTCAAAATTGTACAATAGCCACAGTACATAGAAAAATAAGAAACATAAGACTGTAAATATAAAATAACATAAGTGTAGTCAATATTATTATTGCACTTGTTTTAGTGCAATAATTCACACATCATGTTCAGCCATAGTTTCTTCAGTTATGATATACTGATTAAATTATAATTGATGGGTTCACACAATATGCTAAACCATACTTTATAAACTGCCAGAATTGCATTCACGCAATGCATTAAGCCAAACACAAACAAGTCAAATTATAGCTCAGTGTGATGTGCAAACATAGCCACTATTAGTTGCCATAGATATTTGAATGAAAACCGGGCAAATATTTTAAAACAAAGTAATTGCTCAGGAAACAAAATTTAGCATAAAAAGTAACTATATTTTAGATTACATAACCTAACTTTATCTAGAAATAAAATATTTCTTCTGAAAATCAACCATTTACCTTTCCCTGAGCTGATAGTCTGTTGTATCCCTGATTTATAAAAATATTTCAAAAATTTAATCTTGATATTCTGCAATAGTTAAAAATATATATTTAGTTTTACAAATAAAGCATTTTTCACCTGATTTTAATCAAATATGACCGAAATGCTTTGTACCTATATAGAAAAAATTTATAGCATTTAGTAAGTTACAATAATAGAAATAGAACTGGTCAGATGCATATAACTTTCATCAATGCAGATAACTTTCCAAAACAATTAAATAATGCCTTATGACTGCAAACAAGTTAAAAGAGAGTTACCTCGAAGTGAGATGGATAGCAAACAAGTCTAATAAATAAAAAAAAGCTAAAATTGATTGGTGTGAAATATGCACATTCAGTGTCCTTTGTTCATATTATATAAATGATTTATTTGATTATGTTTGCACTAAAGAATGCTTTTCTGTAAGTTATTTGAATTACTGGCATATTTTTTGTTTAAAAGGGCAATTATGAAAGAAAACATTTTAATATAGCTGTAAAATATATAATTTTTAAAAGGAAAATGCCTGTTATAGTTTTAGACAATCATTTTCTTGTTACAATATTTCATTTTACATGAATATAGCAAAAGAAAATAAAAACAATTAAAATAACTGCATTGAAATAGCCATTGAATATACCCTTTTATTACCGATTTTCAATTTAGCCAATAAATTCATGGTAGAAGTTTTCATTTTACAATGAAAATGCATTATAAAAATATGTTTTACCACACCCATAAGTACTGTGTGTGTTTTCATATATTTGAACAACAGTTATTAAAAATTACATATTAAATAATCTGCACTAGAAAGTAAAGCAGTAAGCCTGATAGGGGTCAAGGTAATAACACAGGATGGACAAATTATACTGTCATTTCACTTAAATTATTTAAGTTATTTAATTTGACCTGTAGATAGACTCTTGTCATCTCATCATGCCTGACTTTTAAGTGGGAGGTCTTCACTCGTGATGATCCTTTAATGGAAGCAAAGCTTTCTCCATTTAACCCATGGTATTATCAATCATGTACAGGGATAAATGAGCCAGTAAGATTTTGCCAGTATCACAAATGACACGGTGACCTGGGGCCAACATCTTTATTTGCTTCTCCAGTGATTCACTTCAGCAGATATTAACCAATTTTATAATCCATGAAAGGCAAAATTAAAGGACACCATCCATAAAACAGAATAATTCCTATCAGCAACAAAGTGATGTCTATATTATCTTATAAATTATATAGCCATATAGTGTGGAAATGTAATGAAGTAAAGATGGTAATAATCAAATGCCTAGGGCAAACGCTAATATGCATTTAATCACACAGCATGAAACCATTTGTCACTACAGTTGAATGCATGTGTACATAAAATACATGAGTCACGTCCTTATTGTTATACTATAACAGCATCAATTTCATACTATCCTTTTTACTACTATAACAACTAGAAGGATTTGATATTATTTTTAAAAACCAAACTGTACACAATGGGTGTCAGCACTTTAAGTTAGTTTAAAGTGCAAGTTTTCATATATTTCTATTTTAAAAAAAACATGCTGTGATATTTAAGCCATTCACCAATACGTTAACTTACATCTTCTAAAGCATCGTGGCATCTTGGTACAAGTTGAATAAAATATTATGTGTTTAATATTTGTAATGAATATTTCCTTTTCGTGGATAACTGCTGATGTCATTAAGTGTGCAAATTGCAATCTTATGCACAATTTTGACTTTTTAAATCCTAACATTTTCAATGTGACTGATGGAGTCTAAGGGGAGGATTGCCATCTTATTTTTTAAAATCAAGATGGGAGAAATCTCTAAAGAAACTACATGAAGCACTTACATTACACACTGCTTCACAGTGCTTTACAGCCCTCTCTAAGCAGTTTACAAGTCAGCATATTGTCCCCAATAATCTGGGCCCTCATTTTACAGACCTCAAAAGGATGGAAGGCTAGGTTAACCTTGAGCCTGGTGAAATTCAAATTGCCAAACAGCTGGCAGTCGACAGTCAGCAGAATTAGCCTGCAATACTGCATTTTAACCACTGCACCACCATGGCTCATATGTTTATGTAACAATGTAATATTTATGTAACAATATACAAAAATGTAATATTGTATAATGATAATATTCAGTACAATATGTATTATTTGCTCTCTTTCAAATATATTGTTTAAACCAGGGCAGACAAAATTTAAACAAGCACCAATTTTACTTCTGATATCTCTGCAATTTTTTAGAAATGCTGTAAGCTCCCTCATTCTAGGCAACAACCCACCATCTTCCTCAGTATAAAATGATCTGCCTTTTCCTTCACTATGTTTGCTTTTTGTGGCCAAGAAAAAGATACCAAAGTGGACATTCTTTAAGGTAGGGGTCGCCAACCTTTTGGACCTCAGGGACCACCAAACTCATAATTTTAAATTCCAGGAACCACTAACCGGTTCTGTGGGCATGGCTTAATTTGTGGGTGTGGCTTGGTGGTCATGAGATTGGCTGGGCATGGTTTATATGTAAATATTATAAATATTTATATAAATATTGATTTTTTTATTAAAAAGAGCAACTTTTACCCAAAATCAGGCAAAGCAGGCAGGCAGATTGAGTTGC